TGCCATTAGCACATTGCCAAACTACAACCTTGCAACAAAGGCTACTTCTGTACTTCCAGTAATAGCCAGTCCTAACCACAATCTTGCAAGTGGCCTTACTTGCTGCCATCAGGGTCCCTGCAGTCAGGGTTCTCTCCATAAAACTCTCTCAAGCAGCAGCCAATGCACATGTCCTCACCTGCAATATGATCCTGTAAACCAGTGAACTTTCGTTTTACATCAATTGGCATATATGTCTCCTTTTTGCCTTTAAAAATTTCTCACTGCCTTAACATTTCCAGACGAACTTATGATTTGTTATATGCACTTCCAGAATTTACAAATCCCCTACTTATTCCTGAATATATTCATTTCTTTGGAGAGTGACTATCTGTTGTTATTTTGAGTTGACAGAGGAACTCAAGATATGGTAGTCAAATCATTCATTTCCTGAATGATGAAAATGAAGAGTAGAAATAGTAACTGATTGGCTTAGTTAGAAAGACATACAAACTACACTTTAACATCAGGCTTCTGACTAGTAACTTGGTGCTTTATAAGCCACACTGAGTCCCTGACACTACAGCCTCACGTAAAAGAGAGAAATTATAACAAATAGTGACCTTAATTACAAAAACATAGAGAAATTAGAATATCCAATATGTATTGAAACATTCATTTTATCTTAAAGTTCTGTGGAAACTTACTACATAAATATTTTAGTAAATATTTAATAATGCATTATTATTTAATTTTTTATTAATACCTTATTTATATATGAAATGTGAAGATAAAGGCAAAGTGGGAAGAGTCAGTTGACTCCAATCCTCCAGAGTGAATGCAAAGAGTTAGCCGATGAATTCAAAGTTAGCTATTAATATTTATCCCCAACACTAACTTTCTTTCATCCCATCTTCAAACTGGGTACTGACTGTGTAACTGGACAGATGGGGTTCATCCATGCTTTGCTGGTGCCACTCACCTTTGTTCTTCCCAACCAGCTTGTTCATCAGGTAGGATTTGCCTGTGCGGTAGAGGCCCACAATTGCCACCACTGCTACAGGCTGTGTTATGGCAGACAGGATCTCCAGAGCTTCTGGATTCACCACCAGATGCCCTTTAGTGTTTTCAATGAGGCATACTGGGCCTGGCATGTGGATCTCTGATGCCATGTTCGTACCGTTCCTTTGTCTGCAAGGAAAAAATGAAGCAGAAAGTAACGTCCGGTCAGTCAATTGAGCTGAATTCTACAATAGGGCATAAATTTTTGTTTATTATTCTTGAACATTGTTTCTTGTGCATTTCTAAGAAGACCTGTGGCCCTTTTAGGCTGCCCTATGGACTGGGTCACTGATTGCCTTTTAAAATAATTTAATTTTGAAACAGACTTATAGAAAAGATGCATGATAGGTATGAAGAGTGCCCATATACCATTTCCCTGGCTTCCCCTAATGTTAGTATTTTACATAACCATAGAGCAATTACTGAAACCAGGATTTTAACATTGATGCAATGATAACTAATTTACACTCCTTATTGACATTTCACCAGTTTCCCACTAATGTCCTTCTGCTTCACGATCCAATCCAAGATCCCTCATTGCATTTAGTCATTATGTTTCTGTAGTTTTCTTGCATCTTTGTTAGTTCCTTATTCTTTTTTTGTCTTTCATGTCTTTGACATTTTAGAATAGTACTGGCCTTTGATTTTGAGGAATATCTTTCACTTTGGAGTTTTCTGATGTTTCCTCGTTGATTGAAGTTAGGCATTTTTTTTGGCAAATGTCACAGAAGTGATGTTCTGCCATTTTCAGTGTCTTGTATTAAGGGATTCATGATGTTGACATGACTTTTTCTGGTGCTGCGACCTTCACTTTGATCACTTGGTTAAAGTGCTTGCTGCCAGATTTCAGATTTCTCCAAGGTAAAGAGTGATGTGCCACTTTGTCACTAAAAAGTTTCCATTTTGAGAAACAGTCTGGAGACTATGCAAATACAATCTCATCATACTTTGTTGTTGTTGTTGTTGTTTTCTCAGCCACTACTTTTAGTTTTTATTGAGGATTCTTTTTGTGGTGTTTGACTAAATAGATTTTCTATTATAGTCATTCTTTCTATGTTTATTAGCTGGACTTCTACCATGAGCAAGGGATGTTCCTTCTTTATTTATTCTGTTTGCTCATTTAATCATTTACTTGTATCAATGCAGACTCAGAGATACTAGTTTTACTCTGAGGGTTTCAATGCTTTACAATCAATATTTATTTTGTTACTCAACTTGTCCTAGATTTCGTCATTGAGAGCTTCTTCAATCTGGATCCATTTTTTTTTCTTTTTCTTTTTCACATGCTTCCATCATATTTTCAGTGTTTCTTTTCTTTTTGGCTTCACAACGTATTCTAGAAAACATATCTGCATTTTTCCTGCTTTATCCCTAGAATCCACCACTTCTCCCAGTATCTTTGGTTTCTTTCATTGTATAATGTTATTTTGACACCAAGATATCTCTCTAGGTGTGTTAATTATTTCTAGACCCACTCAGGGGCAAATTTGAGAAATATATGTATGTATACTAGCACACATCTACATTTATTTTTATTTGTACATTTCTGTAATAAAGCTTGAGATTCTGTTGATATTTCCAGTTCCAATCCAACACATCTGAGCTCATTCAAGCTTTTGACTTTCCTTTTTAAACTATTTTCTCTAAATAAGCTAGACTTTGGTCTTCTAATACGTAATACATTTGTTTCCTTGCTCAATCCTAGTATATTCATATAGTAGTATCAAAATTGATAATAAGTCTGTGGAAAAATAAATTTACTTACTACAGAAAATTATTAGTTCTTTTGGTCTTTAGCCTTATATACACACTCAAAACATTGCACTTCGAAGTTGCTTAGGTTAGTTTTTTCCTTCTCCACCTTCTTCAGTATGGTTAAATTATTCATTTGTAAAACAGTTAGTTACATTTGTTACTGTTTCTGTTTCATTTTGGCCTCCCTCACATCTTGGTCTCTTGGTTGATTTTAAGTATGATTTATTTTTTGAGTTTGTGAGACAACATCGTTCTTAAATTCAGAGCTTTTGAAAAAGTTACAGTCAGAGAAGTGTCACTTTTCCTTCCTCTTACCACTCCACTCCCATTGCACTGGTCTTCTGTTCTTTCTACCACATTCCAACCCATCTTCCATAGATACCCAATCTTGTTAGTTTCTGGTTTACCCTTCTTGGATTTTCTTTTCACAAACGAGAATGTACATATTTTCTTTTTCACATTTTCTAACACGAAGATCATATCGTATAGAAATTTGGAAATCCCTCCACATCTGTTCATAGAAAGCTTTTAAAACCCTTTTAACACGTATCTACTCCTTTATGTGGATTATACCCCAGTTTATTCAATCACTCTTCAATGTATGGGCATTTAGATTGTCTCAAATATTTTGCAATTACAAACAATGCTGCAATGAATAACTCTGCTAACTTTATGCATGTGTATTTTTATATTGTTACAGGAGTAATTTCAGGATAGATTCCTATCAACAGGATTGCTTGGTCAAAAGATGAGAGTATATCATTTTGTAGATATTGCCAAGTTCCTCTACAGAAGGTTGTACAAGGTTGCATTCCCACCAGCTCATCTTGTATGTCATTTTCCAGAAAATGGAATTTTTCCGAGGTGCCCCGCTTACTCTTCTGACTTAATTACAAAATTTCCTTTGGAAGCTTTTCACGTTCACATTTAGATCTTTGGATTGAGCAAAGCTGAGCTCGCTGAGCTCATGTGTATAGTAATAGTAATTTTCATCTAGGGAACATTGTGTCATACATATCTACATATTTTGAAACATAGATACCATTCTAACCCATCCTTGGTCCTGATTTCTTCCAAGCCCCTCTGTGGGCAGGATCTGGTCAGACTGTGGGACTCAGGTTACCCAATGGCTTCCTCCTTTCACTGTGCATCAGCATTCACACGTTATTCATGCAAGCCTGATAGCTCGCACCTGACACTTATCTGTTGATTTTTGACTCAATTATGTTACCAGATTTTGAATTCTCTGCATTTTAAGATCGATTCTTTATTGCCTCCATGTATATCAGTCTGCATATTGTTTTTAATTATTTCATGTAATGAAGTCACACCAGGAAACATTCTTTGAGAAACCATGGCTTGTTTTTTGTCTGATCTCTGCCGTATAGGGAGTAGCATGTGCACAATTGTAATCTTGCTATCTTTATCCGGGACTTGATGAATTAAATATTTTGATAATTTTGTAAAGTTAAAAGGAGTGAACAGCCTTCTTGTAGTAATGCTTTAATATTATGTTTTTAAGTTGAATATCTCAATCCTTATAACTTATGTGATCATGATACAAAATATATAATCTCTTTAAGATACAAGCAAATATAGATGATAGATACTATAGTTTTCATTTTTATCCTATAATAAAGAGTGGTTTGCTTCCATATAGAGTTGGTTACTTCTGACTTGTTCCACTGGAGGCTTCTATTAAATTATCTGGCTTCCCATCACTTCAACAGAAGATGGCAAAAACGCCGTTTATTTTTCTGTGATCATGACCCATTTCCTCTTATAGCAATGGCCTACAGGATCTGCTGGCAAGCAAGAAGGGCAAACCAGAAACTAAAAAGATTGGGTATCTATGGAAGATGAGTGAAAACACAGTATGGGTCTGTCCAATTCCATAGCTTATACTATGCTACCATAAAATAGGAATCAATCAATCATTGGCTCAGAAAAGGTGGTGGCACAAAGATGTTATAAGCTCCTCGATTATAATAATGTGTTGCCTCTTTTTGCAGATCCCAAGTTACCTACCTTCATTTACCTATAGCTATAAACGTTGGCAATAAAGAAAGTGACAGAGTCTATTAGGCAGATATTTAAAGATAACGGTAATTTAAGATGGTGCCACAAAAGAAATAACAATCTTAGAACATTAGCTTCTCTGAATATCTGTTCCACCTCTACTGAAGCCTAATTTGACACAGCAGGAATTAGAGCACAGTAAAGTACATGCAGTCACCTAAGGCCAGGATTTCATCTAGACTTGTATCCTGCAGCTGGCTCAACTGCAGCGTATCTTGGGGATGGTCAACTTAGAGAAAACTAATGGATCCTTATAAGTCGCAAAATCCTTATAAGTCCTAGTCTTACCCAGAGTAGAGATCCTCTGGAGTTGGTAAGAAGGCAGCTTCAATGAGAAAGTTACGAGTCTTTATTCTCTTCTCTTTAGTTCTGAATTTGGCTGCACTGCTTTCTCCCTCTTTTTTTCTTGCTGGAACTTTGGAC